TATCCGCATGTGCTGCAGTCGAGTGCGGCTCGGGGATTGGGTTACAGACATGCTTCAAATTAAGTCATCACTGAATAATTCAGCACTTGGCTGCTGCAGCGCCATGTCGGAGTTATTACATATTTACATGTTTTGTCTTATCAAACTGAAGGTTTAGGGGGCAGCTTGGTAGGAAACCCCCCCCCCCCCCCAGCAAATCTGTTTCAAATGTGCTGGCCAGCGGCCATGAATACTGAAAGAGCCCGTTTGGCATACCGGAATGGGGGGTGTGGGTGTGTCCGATCTTCACCAACCTGTGTGACAAGCCACTTTGGATTTGTGCCTCTCAACAGCTGGCTCCTTTTGTCACACGACGAATTGCATTGCAGACCCATTTTAAAGCCGAATGATAAAAGGGTTGGAACAACTTTCCCTATGAGGAAAGGTTAAGGCGCTTAGGGCTCTTTAGCTTGGAGAAACGACGACTGAGGGGTGACATGATCGAGGTTTATAAGATTATGCATGGGATAGAGCAGGTAGAGAAAGAGGTACTTTTCTCCCGTTCTCACAATGCAAGAACTCATGGGCACTCCATGAAATTGCTGAGCGGTCGGGTTAGAACGGATAAAAGGAAGTCCTTCTTCACCCAAAGAGTGACCAACACATGGAATTCACTGCCACACGAAGTGGTGGCGGCTACAAGCATGGAAGGCTTCAAAAGGGAATTAGATAAGCATATGGAGCAGAGGTCCATCAGTGGCTATTAGCCACAAGGTATAGATAGGGGCTCTGGGGCAAGTGATGCTCTGTCTTCCTGGTGCTTGGGGGAGGGGGCAATAGTGGGAGGGCTTCTAGTGTCCTGGCCCCACTGGTGGACCTCCTGAGGGCACCTGGTATTTCTGGCCACTGTGTGATACAGAGTGTTGGGCTGGATGGCCTTTGGCCTGATCCAACATTGGCGTCTCTTATGTTCCTAAAGCCCACTGTACATAAGCAAGGCCTTTGGCATGCTCAGCACAGATCCTGGACTCACTTTCACCAGCCCAGCCAATCCTAGCAGATGGGCAACTTCCAACTGCTCAAGTCCACTGCTAGTCTATACTGTTGCAGCAGCTAGAATTGATGCAGCCATGTGGTACCAGTAAGTCATGCTTGCCAGCTTGTAAGGATTCCAGTTTCACCAACTGATACCATCCAGTGTACAAGGTGTGTTTACTTCTGTGAAGCTCCTTTTTTGGCTCAGACTACAGCTCGGATTATTCCAACTATGCTTCTACATTCTGGGCCTTGCATCAGGGAAGTCTGACTGGCTCACACCAACAAACATCCAACTTGCACACCCCGTGGCACAGATGCCAATGGGCGCAAAAACCTTACACGGCAGTTCTCTATCAAACAGCAGGTGCCCTTCTGTAAAAACATGGCAAGACCGATGTATCAAATAGCTAAAAGCAAGCTTTTGCTCGGATAATTCCAACTATGCTTCTACATTCTGGGCGTTGCATCAGGGAAGTCTGACCGGCTCACACCAACATACATCCAACTTGCACACCCCGTGGCACAGATGCCAATGGGCGCAAACACCTTACATGGCAGTTCTCTACCAAACAAGCAGGTGCCCTTCTGTGAAAACATGCCAAGACCGATATATCAAATAGCTAAAAGCAAGCTTTTGTTAACTATATCAGTGTGAAGAATTTACATCTCATTACAGGGTGTGTTGGAAAACACGTGGATGATCTTAGAATGTGGAGTGTGCCAATGCATTAAAAAGACAGATCATCATTCACAGAATTGGGTCACGTCCCCAAACATGCCCGTATCTTAAGGCTGCAGTTTACTTTGCACATGGACCTGTTGGCTTGGCACCATGCAGTCACAACCAAAGATGGCAGGAGAATTGTTCTGAACATAAAACTCTTGTATGCTTTGGACGCAGAATGGCCCGCACTTGGGGCATGCCGTCTAGGACAAGTGCAGGTTGAACACAGCGACTGCAGTTATCGACTGATCAGGAAAGCTTACTTGTATAGCGTGATGGTATCTGTGAGGGAGTTGGCGATAAGAACTGCCACTACCAGGCCGTAGATTGCTATAATGCCCGCCATGACCACAGGGATGATGGACTTCATGATCAGCTCTGGCCGCATGACAGACATGGCTGCGATACCCGTCCCGCTCTTCGCTGTCCCATAGGCAGCTCCCAAGGCTGGAAGGAGAGAGAGAGAAAGGACACCTGTGAGCTCACCAAGCTTGCCAGACCCAACAGCAGGATCTGGACCCACATGCCCAGCAATCAGGCCGCCAGCACCGTCTCCTCCCCACAGTGCTCAAGATACACTTTTATGAGGCCTGTGGGCATGATGCGGGGCCCGTTGGCTTTGCATCGGAGATACCGATCCCTGCTTTCCAGCTACCACTAAAGACTTGCTAGGTGCCCCCCCCCCTAACAGCGGCGCTGAACTTATTTGTTACAGAAATGTCACTTTGTCCGGCTGGGCCACGTTGCCATAAAACATAATGCCAGGTACCAGAGATAAGCAGCTGGTAAGCTCCAAGGTAAGCGAACCTAAACAGCATGATAAAAAGTAGAGACATCACCCTGCCAACAAAAGTCCGCGTGGTCAAAGCAACGGTATTCCCAGTAGTCATGTATGGCTGCGAGAGTTGGACTATAAGGAAGGCCGAGCGCCGAAGAATAGATTCTTTTGAACTATGGTGCTGGAGAAGACTCTTGAGAGTCCCCTGGACTGCAAGAAGATCCAATCAGTCAATCCTAAAAGAAATCAACCCTGACTGTTCCCTGGAAGGCCAGATAATGAAACTGAAGCTCAAATACTTTGGCCACCCAATGAGAAGGGAGCACTCCCTGGAGAAGACCCTGATGCTGGGAAAGATTGAAGGTCGAAGAAGACGGGGACGGCAAAAGATGAGACGGTTAGACTGTGTCATAGATGCAACGAACATGAAGTTGAGCAAACTTCAGAGGACGGCGGAAGACAGGAGGGCCTGGCAGGATCTGGTCCATGGGGTCGCAAAGAGTCGGACTCGACTGTGCGCCTGAACAACAAAGCTCCAAGGTGGTGTATCCTTACTGCAACACCCCCATGGACTGGGAGGGAGCTGCAAAGGAAAACCCATATGGGGGGGGGGGCTGGAGAGCCAGCAGTGCAGCACTGGGCAGACAATTTCCACGCTGCTTGAGTGCGGCAGACAAGGTTGTTCCACCACGCTAAAGCCAGAAAGTGGCTCCGCCTACTCCCCCAGCAGTCTCCTGTTCCCTCCCTTGCACTAGTTGCTTGTGGGCTGCGTAAGAACTCTGGACGGGCTGGTTCCAACGCCCGGGCCTTATGTTTTTGAAACAAAGACCCCCTTTGCCTTGTGCCCATAAAAGCCGGGTTCTGTGCGGTGGATGCAAATAAAAACTTGCATGTGTGCACACACAAAGCTGCCTTATACTTTGTCGGTATTATACAGTTTGAAAATTACCATGGTGTTTATTACATCAGGTACTGTTTCTTTGGTAGATGGATGTACTAGTAAGGGGTACCATATACATACAATGTCATTCTGACCACCTCTAGATAGATTTTGTTTCAGAGCATCTGAGATTTTCTCCATTATATAAAGGTTCCATCGCTTTTTGTACCAGAGGTTTACATTTAGCCTACTCGTGGATTTCCATGTGGCTGCTAATGTGGTTCTGGCTGCAAATAGTAATAGAGAGATTCTTTTCCTTTGACACCCCTGCCCTAACAGAAGACCAGCTTGCTGCAACACAGAAGGAATGTCTGGCCCGGGCTCGGGACCGGAGATGGCGAACCTAAACAGCATGATAAAAAGTAGAGACATCACCCTGCCAACAAAAGTCCGCATGGTCAAAGCAATGGTATTCCCAGTAGTCATGTACGGCTGCGAGAGTTGGACTATAAGGAAGGCCGAGCGCCGAAGGATAGATTCTTTTGAACTATGGTGCTGGAGAAGACTCTTGAGAGTCCCTTAGACTGCAAGAAGATCAAATCAGTCAATCCTCAAAGAAATCAATCCTGACTGTTCCCTGGAAGGCCAGATAATGAAGCTGAAGCTCAAATACTTTGACCACCCAATGAGAAGGGAGCACTCACTGGAGAAGACCCTGATGCTGGGAAAGATTGAAGGTCAAAGAAGACGGGGACGGCAAAGGATGAGATGGTTAGGCAGTGTCATCGATGCAACGAACATGAAATTGAGCCAACTTCAGAGGACGGCTGAAGACAGGAGGGCCTGGCGGGAGCTGGTCCATGGGGTCGCGAAGAGTCGGACTCGACTGTGCGACTGAACAACAACATGATTTACCCAAATGGAATCTGCTTCCAGATGAACATCAAGAACTACTTCTGGGAGTCCCTTTCCCAGAACACCAGACTGTCAAAAGTGTAGCAGTCCAGAGAACACCCGGCTGAACAGTAACACCATTTATGGAACCCACAAACTGCATGAGGTCAGTTTCTGAGCAGGATCAACTGGATGCGGCCATCGTGTTCCTTCTGAGTGCAAAAGAGAGGCCCCGTCAACAGACAGCAATACTACTTAGCCCTGCAGTCCCAATTAAAGGACTACGCACCACTCTTGGCTTTAAATGCTTTCAAGGTATTGGCACCCCAGGGCTGCAGTAAACCAGCTTATTCTCTGTTGTGGGCCCTGCTGTGTAGAAGCCAGCCACATCAGATGAACACCAGAAGAACTGAAACTGAATGTGCTCTCTGACTGCTCTGTTCAACCCCCCCCCCCCCCATCCTTCTTGAGCCCAGGAACACTCTCAACTGTTTAAAGTCCAGCTGCTTGCACAGAGTAGACCACAACGCTCCACCACTGCACTCTGAGTCAACAACCACGCGCTGGAGCAAAGGTTTCAAAAGGAGAGAGCTGTCTGCAGCCAGGCCGCTTGATATCAGCTTGTTCATTTGTCAGCCGTTTTAATCCTTTACATGAGGCGTTCCCTGGGCTAGCGTTTGTTCCTACCAAGCTGAGTTGGTACCTGTGACACCTTTTTCAACAGACAAATCAGGCCATTTCTCCTCGACACCATAATTCTGAGGATTTGGGGTAAAGTACTACGGTTCCTGTAGCCTTTGCGGCCGGTGAATGAAAACCTGCGTTGACTGGAGGCCGGCTTCTCCACACAGGGATGCAGCTGCAGGATCTGAGTTCTGGTTCTGCAGAACAGACAGTAGCCAAAGGGTGCCAACAGCCTAATACGCTGTCATGCGGATTATAGGCCGCCCTCACTTTCAAAGCTGGCTACTGAGCCAACCTAGAAGTTCGAAAGCAAGAAATTGCAAGTAGATAAATAGGGACCACTGTGGTGGGAAGGTAACAGCGTTCCATGCAACTTGGTGTCATGCTGGCCACATGACCACGGAAACATCTTCGGACAGCGCTGGCTCTTCGGCTTTGAAACGGAGATGAGCACCGCAACCCTAGAGTCGGATTCGGCTGGCTTTCGAGCAAGGGAACCTTTACCTTTACTATTGAGCCCAAAGACTGAGGGGTGGGAAAAGCAGAAACAATGCATTTTCTATTGGAAAAAGGCAGTTTATAGAGGCAGAAAATTGGCGCGTCAATAAAGACCAGTGGAAGACCAGAACAGGACTCCTATCGCATCCCCTTGTTCTATCATTTAGTACTCTGGGCCACGAGAGGGGCAGCAAGTTTCCTGCCCATGCTGAGGGCTCCCTTTCCCCTTTCGTCCACCACGGGATATCAAGGCAAATTCCCAGCCAGGCACACTGACCAGACCCCCCCCCCATTTAGTTCCAGCGAGGTTGCTGCAATCACTGGCTTTCAGAAGCCCTGTGGCCCCCCGCCCTGAACCCACCTGGAGACCAACTAGTAGCACCCACACCATGCATGGCATCCAGTCGTCAAATAAAAACAGTAAGCCTGGGCACACACCAGGCCCCTTGTCTAGTGGCAGCTGCTGAACATCGAGAACTCTAGGTAGAAACTGGCACTATACCCCCACCAATGTTCCCTCTAAGCTGTGGAGTCTTGTGAGCAAAAACTTTACTTTGTGAGCTACTGCCATTAAAGTTGTGAGCGAGCGATTTGGCTACTGCATAAATTAGTTTGCTCTGGAGCCCTCCTTCCTGAGCTAAGACAAAAATGTGTGAGCCAGAGGCAAAAAAACTGTGAGCTAGCTCACACTAACTCAGCTTAGAGGGAACCCTGGCCCCCACCCCACATGTCAGAAGCAGACAGTGGCACGAGCAACCTAGTTCTAATGATGGGAGCAGTAGCCCAAACCACAGCTTTAGGGTGCATGTGTGTGGAAGAGAACACCAACTGTACCAAACATTGTTAGCTCCTACAAGGCACGGGGTTGTGCATAGGTTACAGCTGTAGATGTGAGGTTTAACTAGCCGTGACCATAATTAATGGGACAGTCAGTTGGTTTTTTTTAAAGTCTCAGTTTAACAGGTCTTCAGCTGCAAAAGGTCAATCAAATCTATGCCTTACAGATACATGAAGGAGTGGAGAAGGGTCCTATATGTTCATCCACCTGCTCCAATGAAACTGGGAGAGGTTTAGTTTACTCTCAGAAGGTTGGAGATGAAGATTAACACAGCATACAACTTGGGCAAAAAACACCACTCATTAGTGGCAGAAATGTGGCACATCAGGGCTCAGCATGGAGCCATGTCTACACTGGCTGGACTGTGGTTTTGAGACTATCCACTGTTCACAGGAGCAAAACCAAACTAGGTGTTACAGGATTTCTGGGTGTCGGGAAAATATAGCACCAACAGGGAGGCATGCTACGGGCAAAAGCTGGTTTCTCTTTCAGCCAGTCCATCATGGGCCTGGTAGTATGACTATCCAGTGACCGCAGGCATTAGGTGTCCCCGTTACATCAGGCAGAATCCTTGACCAGGGGAGTCTACCAGGATACTGGCTGAATTCTCATGGATCTAGCAGGGGAACGTCCAATGACTGCAACCAATTACTTGGTCAGGCTCAGACCCTGGTATCAAGTCAACCCACACGGGTAAGGATCTAACCCCAGTATCACCTCTACATTTCCTCCGTTTCACTTCTGTTGTTCATCTTGTTGGAAATGCATGTGTTTACAAGGTCTGACAATCCAGTCATTATAGGGTTAACTCATTTGCCTAGTATTGCTATTGTTTAGACTGACCTGGAAGGGATACCTGGCATTGAGCCAATGGG